CTGGAGGTATTTAAAAGATGTGTAGATGTGGTACTTGGGGACATGGTTTAGTGGTGGACTTGGCAGTACTAGGCTAACGGTTGGACTTGGCAGTGCTAGGTCAATGGTTGGACTCAATGATCTTAAAGGTCTTTTCCAAACTAAACAATTCTATGATTCTATAAAAAGCCATTAAAAAAAAAAAAAAAATCACTGACTTCTGCAACTTTTTTTAAAGGGCTCCGTCAATTCAACTGCTTCTGTGTTACCTGTAAAGTAGCAGGATCTCTTCCGTTTTTGACTTCTCCTCCTGGAATCTGTGCTTTTACACTTGCCATTTTCTTTTGGGAAAACATCAGAAAACCTCCTTCTCTTTGCACAGAGTTTTGGTGCCTGGCTCGCCACTTTTTGATGGCTTTGAACTGCTGGTTAGCTTGGTGAGACTCCATCCTTGCTAAAGCTTCATCCAGATGGTTTGTCTTCTGGATTACCTATAAGAAAGTTATCTGTATGATTATTCTTCTCTCTATGCTCACGGTAGCAGAAAAGGCAAAGCAAACTGAAAAGGTCATCTGCTGCCACTTAAAGTGTTCAGCTGCTGTAAAACAATTTTAAAAATTGGTTTTCAACCCAACTGAGAGAAAACTCCTTCTATCTTTATGTGACCATTGCCATTCTTTAATAACCACTGATGATACTAGTAAAAGGAAGTTAATCAAACTTGACAGACTGAAGAGTAAAGTCATCTGTGTTGAACCCAGCTGCAGAGTTAGGACAGACGAGAACAGGGAGAGCACTGGGTGCTCTGTTGAAATCGAGACTGCTTTAAATCATGCCACAGACTTAAGATTCACTTCTGTATTTTGAATGCAATGGCAAATAAAAATGTAGGTTAGTCTGAGAGTGACTGAAACAACTATGCCACTGGATCCCTAACAGATATGCCAGATGTTAACTGTGCATTTCAGTCTTCCCCTTCACCCCATATAAATACTTAAGATTCAAGTGTTCTACCTCATAGTTTTCTGCAATGAAAGGAAACTGCTCAGGTTGCAAGAACTGAGTTTTAGGGATATCAAGCCCATCCTCTCCATACAGAAACTGCACCACACTGCCATCGCTATCTCGTACAGTCAGGTCATACTGAACTACCAGTCCTTCCAAATGTTTTATGATACATCTGTTCCAAAGAAAAAAAAACAAACAAAAAAACCAATGCTGTTAGAGGCTACAAAGCAACAAGGATGATGTAAGTCTAACATGAAAAATACTGTTTTCATTAATACCTTAAGTGCACTTAAGGGCTGATCAGGAATTCTGGAAGCCAAAAGAATCATACAGACACGACACACAGGTGAAATGTGTAATGACATTGCAAAGCTTTCTGCATGTTGCTCCATCCAGTTTCCTTGGACTAAAGTGACTTAAAATGAAATAGCAAATTACTGTCTGTTTTTGCTGTCACTCTTAAACAGCTGTCTGAAAGAAGGGGGCATCCCTTCTCTAGAACCCATCACTACACTCTGAAACAATTAAAAAGTTCCATCTTCTTCCAGATACTGGAGGTGTTCCTTGAATAAAGACGAAGGCCACACAATGTGGCCAAGAAAAACTAGAGTTGCCTGGAATGTGTACATCTTTACTTGTATCAGGAAAAAGATTTCTCCAAAAGGAAAAATTGCTGTTGCTATGTGCCAGAGATAAGTTAGAGATGATAAAGTTCCACTTGATCTAGTCACCTAGAAAGTCAGGTGTAGAACAAACATTCAACACTCAGACAGTAAACACTTTTCTAAAAAGCAAGTACACTGAAGTTAATCTAAGCAATATAGTCTACAGTACTCTACAAAAAAACCAAACAAAAACCCCAACCAACCAAACTAAAAAAGGGACCTTTTAAAGGCTCAAATTCTAAAACAAGCCTCTTACCTTTGTAGGTACCCAGAACGGCTGGTTTTGACAGCTGTATCCACAAGACCTTCCCTGCCAGCCATGCAGTGAAAGAAGAATTCCTAAACATAAGCACAATCCCATCAGCATTCTGCCGAGAAGTACACTGAGACTGGCAATTTATGACCTTTCTCAAAAGCTACATATGAAAGTAGTGTGAACAAAGTCGATTTATCTATCATCGCAAACACTGTATTAAAATACCAAGAACTAAATAAGCTTCAGTGTAAGCGCAAGCAGTATTCAACTTACAGAAGGTTTGATCCCAGTGAGAAATCTGCCAGTCACAAATCCTCCTGAGCTAGGGGAAAAATCATAAGGCTGGAAACATGGCAGCGATTTGCCAGATGCCATCAGTGGGGGTCTTCGACCTTCCAACTCAATCTGGCCCAGCAAACAAGAAATCTAAACGTGGACAGTAAAAAAGGAAACATCACTTTTCCATCCAGCTTTTTTCTCACCTAAGTCCCAACAATTTTTCTTGAAAAACATAGTAAAAAAATTAAAATGTTCACTAAATGTTCTTTAACTAAATGTTGACCTGTTCATTAAATGTTCTTGCTACTGATCAGCAGATAAGGCATGTAGATCTCATCTGTTTTTTTTAAGTTATTCCAGCCCCCTGACTCATCTTCAACATTGCCATTCTCATTCTGTATGTTTATTTTAATACAAATAGATGAGAAACTAAAATATTGTAACTATTTTTTAGGCCCCTACATTACCCTCACCACCTCTCAGCAGTGCACTGAAAACAGAACAAAAAACCCCTCTCTCTTGAGCTTTGGTCATTCTCTCCCAGCAGAGACAGAATTTTAAATGGCCTTTTTATAGAGAGTGTTTCTTGCTTGGTGTCTGTGTTGCAGAATGCAAAATGAAAAAGCATCCTTGCCATTTGTACCAAAATCAAAGTAAGATTTCCTATTCAGTAATGGAAGAAGGAAACAGAAGGGTCAGTCTCCAACAGAGAACTTTTCCTGGCCTTTCTCCTACAGTAGGTTTGTCTGTATAATCTGCAGCATTCCTTTTAACAAGAAGCTCTGCAGTTGCTATAAATCCTAATGTACTAAGTATTGATTCAAAAATAGAAAGTTATAATAAATATTGACTCTCCTCCATCACCCACTGAGGTCCTTATTACATTCTTCTAAAATTTTCCTACGCCGAAGACCTCCACTCCCGAAGCCCTGAATAAAAATCTTGCTTTGGTATTAGGTATCTGCACAAGCTCTTCTCAATAGCTTACATTCTAGGACAAATCGCATCAACACATGTAGCTGCTAAGTATTCTAGCTGTCATTACCTGCATTGTATTTACAGTGGATCCTTTGGCTCCTGACTGTACCATCAACTGCAAATTGTTCTCTGGAAAGCTCCTGTGGAGACCAAGGGGCATACAAACCTAAAGAGTTGTGATGGGGTGAAAGGAACAAAACCAAACCATTATTAATAAACCAAAGCAATTCCTGTTGAAGGCTTTAAAAAAGTGAAAGCATGACTAACCACGAACATTCCTATTTATAATTTTAAAAGCATCTTGAATATTAAGCCATCTTCTCATTCAGGGAGGACAAGGTTGAGGTGCACTGGCAAGGCAGTATGTGAAGCCTCATGCTGGGGACAGATGGAAAGCTTCAGCCTCCAGAACAGTCAGGCAGCCCTCATCAACATTACATTGACTTAATAAGAAAGTCTCCAAACAAGATTAGTATATGCAGATGCCTCAATGCCAACCTTGTTAACTTCATTGTTGTAACTGTTTACTTCCTCCTTGAATTTCAGATCAACCACGTTAAAATCCCTCTGGTCTTTGCAGAGATGGGCATCCTGCCATTTCCCTTGGACCTCCTCACATGATGCAGTTTCTGGCAAATTAAGAGCAGCTCGAACAGCCTGAAAGTGAAACGGGGGGGTTTTTAGGTGCTAAGCAGGCATGATTAAATAGGGCAGGATTTCAAATTTTTTTAAATGGGGGGGTGGGGGGGTAGGGAATTCTGCAAGACAGACTTACTTCAATACCATGCTGGCTTGACTTTTCAATGATTTTTTGTCTTTTGTGGTCTGCTTCAGGTTTAACCAAAATATCTTCAATCCCTGTTAAAGAAGAGAGACACAGCACATAATGATCTAAACTGAAAAAGAGTTGCGGAAGGAACCACATTTGGTGTCAGGGATTTTGAGAGCAAAAAGCTGGGGAAAAAAAGTCACAATTAAAGATATAATAACTGTTAAAATCAGGATAACTGCAGTTTGACAAGAAAAAAAAAAATTCTGAGTGGCTTTTTGAGGGAGAAGGCATAGGCTGTCAACAAAACATGCAACATCAGCTAAGCTAAGCATTAAGGGTGCAAAATCAACTCCCTAACTTAAGAATTCTTAACTTCAACAGTGTCTACAAAAATCTTAATCGGTGCACTTGCACACAAACAAACATGTTACAGGCCAGCCACATCAAACTTTTTTCTCTTCCATCCACTTCCAAGTTCCTATTGACTGACCTTTGGAGCATTTGTCATTTCATAGTTTTAAAAAGGTAAACTAAAAATACAGACCCTTGTGATGACAGGACCAGGAGAACAACAATTTAGAACAAATCAAAGGTTGGAACCCTAACTCCTTCCTGTAGGCCATTTGTAAGAAGTCCTGCAAAAGTCACTAAACTGGCTGGAGCACACGATGGATGAGGAGAGGCTGAAAGATGTGTGTGTTTGTTTGTCCTTTAGAGATACAAGGAAAGAAAATTTTCTTCAAGAGGAAAAAAATTTTGACAATGTATATGATCAAATGCTGGCACAGGGGCCCAGAGGTCGTACAATCACCACCCCTGGAGATATTCACAACTTGACTGGACACAGCTCTGCACAAGCTCATCTGGCAGGACTTGCTTTGAGCAGGGAGCTGTGTTAGATCACCTGGAGGTTCCTCCCAGGCTACATGTACAGCAGTTCTAGGGGGACAAGTGGGACGCTTCACTAGTGAGTCACACACACGTTTACAAGGCAAAGGAGCCTATGGCCCCATCGTATGTCCCTCTACCCTCACTCTTTCTGTCCAGCCCCTGCTCTCCTTTTCCCACTACAACTTTGTCTCTTCTACTTTGTCTCCTTGTCCTGAACCTTATTCGTCTCATCCCGAAGTCTCATTTTGCTCAGTCCCGAATCATCTAATCTTCATCAAATCCCAGACTCCCGCTCCAGTCCCACTTCTCTTTTTCTGACGTTTTAACTATCTAGTGACCCCTGGCTCATTATCTTTGCCTAACTAGTTTTTGCACCCTGGCTCTCAAGACATATCTTCTGTGTCTTACAGTCAATTAATCACCTTCCTCACTTCAACAGATCTTCCTCCCTTTTTCTTGGCTCACAGCAGTCTGTTGGTTCCTCACTACTGCTGCCTACCAGTTGACCGTGTCTAGGTAACCCTTAAGTGATCATTTTGTGCCTTCAGATAAAAGCCAATTTAAACCCTCCTGCTGCTATATACTGTAAGTATTTCATTAGTATAAAAACATCTTGTAAAGCTCTACACGGTAATCTGAAATACTACAACTATTGCAAGAAGAGAGAGTACAGTAAGGGTCAAATTTTTATTGTGTGCCAAGTGCATTTCTGTATGAGTTTGCAAAGCTGTAATGAAAGTCAAACATTTACCAAAAGATTTACAGTAGAATGAGATATGCAAGACTTGATTAATAACCCCTCAAAGTTCTTCCATCTCGCTTTATCAGTTGTTCTGGTTTCTATGCAACAATTCTTTTTCAGAGAAGTAAAAATAACAAAGACCCATAGGAGGTTTTGATCTAAACAAAATTTCAACACATTTAGGCTGTGTGCACTTTGACTAGGCAGGATAGAAGAGAGAACTTGATGGACACACTCAAGATTATACTTTCTCTTTATGCTTAGAAGGCAAGCTATGCACCAACCAGAAAAAGAAAAAAAAAGGTTGGCAAACAGCTATCCCACTCAAGGACAGTCTTGCGAAACTTAATACTTGCTAAGAATTCTGTAAATTATGCCCAACAATGTCTGTTCTATACCTCAGGAGGTGCTGCACTACAGCACCAGTGAATTAGTCCTTGTGTAACTCACCCATTGTAAATCCCCTGTACAGCTGCAGGTAAGCAGTGAAGAGACGTCCTAGACATGTTAGCACCTTCCCACTGGTTTCACCCCCATAGATTTCATAGCAACAGTGGACCAGGCCATAGGCAGAGCTGCCAAAGTGAGCTTTGTCCAACACTCCACACAGTAATTCCCCATTTCTAATAATAACCTGAAAAATAAAAACACAGCTATTCAGGAAAACAGAAATTTTGATCTCATTATGATCTCTACAGGTTTTTCTGTGTAATCTACATGAAAATAGGTTTAAGTTTAGAAAGCCCACGTATTGGTGAACAGTTAAATATGGTCAGATTATCTACACTTCCAGAGTTTACAGTAGAAATAAAACTTCTAACACCATCTGTATTTTTCCACCTATGAAGTCAAACATTGAAGACACGTGGTCTAACAAAAACAGATGGAATCTGTATCAGTCAGGATCAGAACAGAGTTTTTCCTTACCCCCAGGCCTACCCTCTAATCAACACCTTATGGCAGTAACTGTTGCTCAATATCTGTTTTTAACTTTGTCATCCGCCTGCTTCCCTTCCCATTCCTCTACTCTATACACAATTTTATTACAATACAGCCCAGCCCAGCCTCCAGAGTTGCTGCCCCAGCATACCTGAGATTCACACATTGAATCAAGATTTAGACATCTGTTTGCAGGTCCCTTTACCCAGGCTCTTCCACCAATCTTAGCTTTCCCAGTCAAATTCAGTGGGACGTGGTTTTCCGGAATTATGTTTATTAACAATGTAGAAACAACCTATAAAAAAGCAGGAAGAGTGGCAGGAACTATTTATTTCCTATATTCCTTTCTCAACGTAAAGAATTTGGCATGGAGGAGAAAAGCAACATCCTATACGTATTATTTCCACTGACAGCAAAGCTTTAAAAGCTCAGAAATCTGAAGTTTACAAGACAGGAATATCCTTTTGCTACTCTAGCCTTTGAAAGATCAATAAGCTGAGACACATAATTTTTCAGAAACATATGGTACCAAAGATTTTTCCAATAATTAGATATATACATATATATATTAAAAAAAAAAAAAAAAAAGAGTTGTCTGTTGGATTTTACAGGAAAACTGGCAGAGAATTTCCTGTACTCTCTTAAATAATAGAAAATGGAGCATTCACTTGGGCTTCCCAGATATTACATCAACCTAATGATGATCTCAACCAAAAAGTCAAATACCAGAATATTTACCTACAACTTTTAAGTTCAGAGATTTAAAAGCACTGACTGGCGTAACTTAGTTTACTATGATCAACAAATTCCTTCTCTGCTCCCATGCCTGCAAACTGCAGCATTATACTTGTATGTGCAACACCATTCAGAGCAGCAAGTAAAAGTACTGTTCTAATACTGCCATTCTAAATGAAGAACAACTCTCATAGCTCCAATAACATACACCAAGATCTACACGGTGTTGATTAGATGATGGGATCTGGCTCTTCAGCAACCCTCAGCAGCAATGGTTTGAACATTAGCATTCTGTTTACTTTGGAACCACCAGCATCCTTTAACCCAATAAATTATAAACTACCTGCTTTCCTGTCCATAATCGCTGTGGTTTCATAATGGCAGGAGGAAAGATTTTAATTTTTCCTTTTTTGTCTGTTAGTCCTCGGTAAACAAGCTCCATATATTGCTCTCTGGTGAAAAAGCAGCCCCGGATTGTCATGCTGACTCCAGAAATCATGTGATCCTGGATCAAGCCAGGAAGTGGCTTCCCATCCTAAAGAGAAAACAAGAAAAAGGGTTGGGGGGGGATAATTAGTCATGTGCTAGCAGCTCCCAAAATTATTCCAGCTGGATAAAAGCACTAAAGTCATTTGTAAAGAACTCGTCATCATAGCACAACTCTACTAACTCTCTTCTGGACATTGACATTAAAAGGAATGAGATTGTGTGGATGTGCTGGGCCTTCTATAGGCGAAGAGAACCACAGGTGAAGACAAAACAGAAACCAGGAATAAATTTCAATAATAAATAAAAAAAAAATAACAACCTCATTTATCATTAGACAAAACAAACAAACAAAAAGACAAAGTGATTTCACGTAGGAATAAATTTATCTGACAGTTTTACTTACCTTTGGAACCAGATACTGTTCATCAGTAAAGGCTAAGGTGTAGGCTTCTGCTCTGCCCAGCTCGCTCTGTGGAAAATGGGCATTCATTTCATCCCCATCAAAATCGGCATTGTAAGCCTTGCAGTTGGCATAGTGAAGCCTCAGCACTTTTTCTCCAGGCAGGATTCGGGCCCGGTGAGCTTGGATGGAAGGTCTATGAAGAGTGGGCTGGCGGTTCAGTAAAAGGACATCTCCATTTTTAATATGTCGACATACCTGCAAGAGAATTTTGGTTGCTGCCTGTAAGGCATTTCCATGCATGCCTCTGAAAAGACTGCATCTTAAAATACACACACATATCCAAAACATTTTCTTTCTAGTATTAACGTTCTGGGCAAAACTTCCTAAGAGAATCAAGACTACTTGCCCCTGAACGCCCTCTGCTCTCCACCAAACCACACTCTAAGGCTGCATATCCTCCATTAATTCCCACAAACCACAGTGATCAAACCAAGCTAACAGCATGCAAGCCACGCTCTACCAATCTCTCCTCTCCCTTGGCAATATAGGGATCAAAGACTGAAAAAGAAAGAAAATTATGCCGTTTGTAAGTAAGAAAATAAACTATTTATCCAAAGCCCATTGGGCTGAATTGATAATACCTGTCACCATACACCCAGCACTGGACATCCTAGAATAAGGTAATAATATAACCCCGTAGCTGAAGCAGAGGCCAGGGATCTCTGAGTTATAATTTCAGGTTTGAGTACAACACAATATATTCTTATCTAGAACAGAGTCTCTCAAAACAGTCTCATTTTAATTTCTCTGTCAGTAACACCCATATATCCATTTAAGTGATTATCAACAGGAGTATGATAAGCTGTTTGTATAGTCTAAATACTGTTGTGTTTACCTCTGTGACAAGTTCTGGGAGAACTGACATCACAGAAATACTCAGTCTTAAATATTAAATCTTTACCACACCTCTATTAGAGACAGGAGTATACATAACAGACATTGTGAAAAGACTATTCATCACCAAAACTTCTGCCCTAGCAGCTAAATAATAAGTTCTCAACTCTTGCAAGGGATGGAGATACAGTTATTAAGAAGTTTCAAAGGTTGGTTAAGCTGTAGCACAGAGAACTCAAACCCTCCAGCAGCGCTGAAGAAACAACTGATATAAGCACTAAGCATTTCACAAATGTTAATGTCTGTACAAACAGATGGATCTCAGTGTGGTTGTTTCTTGTTTTGTCATCTGTAAAATGAGATGGTGATGGGAAGATGGATCCCAGGTTACAGCAGTCAGTGCTAAAACACAGACCACTCCTCCCCTGGTCGGTGCTACCACCAGCATGGCTGACAGAGAACGGAGGACTCTACTTCATACATACTCATGGACACCCCACTCCTGGAAGACATGTCACATCAACTGCTTGTGTTGTACCTACTCTACAAGTATAATGAATTTCAGCCTTCAGAACTGCTACCAAAAAACTGCTCCAAATACAGAACCTATGTAATATTTCAAAAGGACAGGAATAAAAGATAGAATTTGCTGAGAAGGACGGGGAGGCGGGGGAAATAAAAGCATAAAAGGAAAGCACTATTTTATCTTCCATACTGCTAAGACTTCCCAAGAATAGTCAGCTGCAAAAGAAAGACTACTCTGCATCTTGGCAAGATGAATGCCACACGCTGCATATTAAGAGAAGAGTAAAATTCAGGATAGAAAAATGGTTTTTAGAATTTGAAAAATTATGAAGCTTTTCTCCCCCCCCCCCCCCCCCCCCC